AGGTTGACGTGCGCTTGTAGCTGCTGACGTCGAAGAAGAATCGAGAAGACTACTGGAGGTGCTTGTTTGACTGAAGATCCTTGACATTCTTTGTCTTTTTTTCTTGGATCCGGGCAATGCCCTATTTCTTTCTTGAAGAGGTGTAGAGGTTTTCTTTCCTCTTTCACTACTTCTCCTCTTGACTTTGCTTTTGTGTTGTTGTTTTTTTTGGAATATTTTGGGTACCAAACGAGAAAGAGAAGAAAGATTGATCATTCGAATGAGTGATTTGAGAGAAAAAAAGGGGATGAGTTGAGAAAGTTTTTTTGAGGAGTTGCCAATCTTTAAAATTGAAGGAAGAATAACATCGGTCCGGCGGGCGGCTAATGGCGCCGCCGCCCGCTAGAAGCGAGCGCAGAGAGTTTTAGGTCACCAAGAGCGGTGGCTCTGATACCATGTTGAAATATTGAAATAATAATATTGCTCCTTGAATTATGAAGTACATGATAGAGTATATATAGAAGAGACTCCTAACACAACTAGGAATAGAGAATGGAGACTAACTAAAATACAACATCTACCACAAATAAGATTAGGAAGCTGACTAATAATGAAACACTACCACAACCAATACTACCACAAGTAATACTATTATTATTGTCTAACAAGTGGCATTATGAATGGGTTTGCTTTTGCGTTGTAACTATTCGGTTTTTTTGGGGCAGTGATGGCATGTGAAAATTTCTAGTACTAGGATTCTATAAAAGATGATGTCAACCATTGAGAATGGTTTTTGGTTAAGTAGTACGGAGTAATAAACAATATAAGGTCAGTTTAATTTCTTTCTCCTGTGTGGGGATTGTTATTGGTGGTTGTTTCAGAATAATCTCAAAGAAAAATGAAATCCAAATGTCTACTCCGTTTTTTTAAGTTATAATTAATCACCGGGTAGTCAAATATTCTAATTTGAAGAAGGTATTAGCACATGGGAAACAAGATGTGCATGCATGTTATGTGCCTCACCAGCCTTGCTGGCACTCCGTGCTCCTACTCCTAGTCAACATCTAAGCCACTTGCACCACGGTGATATATTTTGCATATGAAATTTTGCTTGTGATCTTTCAGTAGGAAGATTGGCTAATTCATTCCAAGAGGGTTGCAGAATTGACAGCTTGTTAAACATTGCCTATTTTTCTGAAAATAGAAGACTTTAATAGTTCTTGATTCCTTCCCGTCTCAATCTAAGTTAACTAAAACTCAGGTGATGGGGTTCATAGATGGTTTCTTGCATCCCTTTGTGGAATGACGATCATTGGGCTGTAGGATAGTTCAAACACTAGGGTGCATGAGTGAGAGGGACACATATAGTTAGATAAAATGATAGTTCGCTCTATCAGGTGAATGGTCATTGGGTGTGCACAGTTGACCTTTTGTTGGAACTCGAGAGGGGTCTTTCTATGTTTGTATTTTTCTAACTTTAACTTGTTCTTGTCAAGTGCAAGGAACTTCAAGTCCCATATCTATGGCTCTGCTATTCTACCACTAACAAAGAAATAAATGCTTTTAAAACCTTATTTAAAGATGAAGTGTCTTTGATATTCTCCTTTTTCTTGTGTATTATTAAGTGCCAAAAATGTTCAAATTATCTTCCATCATGTAGGAGTTCTCATTAGTTCCTAATGTCTACGTGATATGGGCTTAAATAGAAACATGTGGGATTTTATGGGGTTTGTCGCCATTGTTTTCCTAACGTCTCTGTTTTTATCTTATCAGATCATGCGATCGATATGGAAAGGTTCTTTTGTTGATGCGTTCTTGCTGAGACTTAAAGAGAACAAAGAACAACTCACAAACAAAAAGATCTGGTCACGCAGATCTACTATCCTTCCTGAATTTGTTGGCAGTGTCGTTCGAATTTATAATGGGAAAAATTTTGTTCGCTGCAAGATCACCGAAGGAAAGGTTGGTCACAAATTTGGAGAGTTTGCTATGACAAGGAAAAGACGGCCTCACAAGATGGATACGAATACAAAGAAGAAGGGCCGCTGAGTCATCACGACCCTCCCTCCATTATCTGATGCCACCAAATTGCCATGTCTTCAGGAAAACGACATATTGAATTACTCCCTCCATTCTTAAATAAGTGTTTGTTATGACTTCCAAAATACATTATGAATCAAATGAATGAGGACAAAATGGTTGCTCACATGTCACATTCATTCAACTTCTAATGTATGCAGAAAAGTTATAATATACCGTTACTTAGGACCGTAATAGACTGTTTAGTACTTCATCCTCAAGGTGAGGAAGCCAAACCTTGTTTTGCATTGGAAGATTATTGTTTTTGTTCCTCTTTTGAGGTATGTGGGAACACATGGTTTTGTGAGTTTTTTTGTTGTTGCATACTTATAAATCGTGCCCAAGTGCAGGGTTTTGGGTAATATTGTTTTATATGCTCTCTTTCTGGGTTCAAATGTTTTTACCTAGTTGTTTTCAGTTTGCTCCAATGTCTAGTTTTTACTGCCAGTTTATGGCAATCGCTATAACTGCACTTATGCCCCCATTACATAATAGAGATTAGCGTAACATTTTGAAAAGGTTATCTACCGGTATTGTTTAACGTTAGTGTTTCCAAGCTAATTTGCACGGTTAGAATTTTAATCAAAACGCTAACGTTAATCCCAAATGAGCCCAGTATGATGTGTTGATTTGGAATGGTTTTGTCAATTGAATGGCGAGTCTGGGTACATGTGTTGGTAGGGTTTTGTGATGTTTGAAAATCAAAATGAAAGCAACACAATTATATAATATGTCGACATAATTTATTTTTTTTTGGAATTATGTTGGCATAATATTTAACACGGAGTACATTGTAATTATTTAACCGCAAGGGGTCTTAAACGGATCCAAACTCTTTACACTATACCTAGCCCTTAGGGTGTGGAGATGAATTCGGGTAAATGGAGTTTAATATAGATTCAACCCAACTACAAATTTGTGGATTTTAGTTGAATTTGAAATACTTTTTAAAGTCTGTTTGGTACACGGAATTGATGTAATTGGAATTGAATTGGAATTAAAATTTCATAGGATTTAATTTCATAGAATTGAATTTACCATTTCCAAATCATTTTTTGCACTATCAATTCTAAATTCACATAATTTTTGTGCTATCAAACTCCAGAATTGGAATTGAAGTCCTCAATTCCAATTCCATACTTTGAATTCCGTGTATCAAACGAGGCCAAGACAAATCACGACCAATTGCAGGCCTACTTCCGTCCCATAAAACATTTTAAAGTTTGACTTTCACAAAATTTTAAAAAAATTTAAAAAATATATTATTAGAATGTCAGGAGTATATAAATAAGAAAATTACTATGTGCTACATATCGAATACTAAAATAATAAATAAAGTAGTTCTAATTTTTTTTTTGAAACATATAAGAAAGAAAAGTGTTTTAAAGGTTGCTACCCCCAAAAGGGAATATTAAATTATTGAAGAGAAAACCCCTAAAAATTGATGTTTTAAAGGTTGCTACCCCCAAAAGATGACGCCTTTATCATTGTTATTTCATTCTATTACTTCATATTTAAATCGTGATTTTTTAAAAAAAAAAATCCAGAATCGGTACGTGGAATTGCAAAGCCAAAAGAACCAGATTTTTCCAGGTTAAATTTTGATTCAACCTCGACTTTTCCAACCAGTGTCTGACTCCCTAGCAAATTTCCGGTTCCAAACAGACCCTAAAAAGAACAAAATATTGTGTTGTTGGAAAACATTGGTATGGAGCACCAGAGTAAATGAACAAAAACATTGTAACTGGGAAACTCTTAGTATCATGTGCTATATAGAGCCACAGCAGTGGAACTCTTTCTGAACAGATCATAAGAACAGAGAGTCAACAACACACATCAGTGGGTGTGTATCAGACAAGATATTCAATCCTCCCCTTGGAAAAAGAAAAGTTGATAAAAATGCCAGCATAAAAAAAATAGTTTGGACTAAAGAAAAAAAAAGGGTAACCAAGAGAGACATGACAAGTGAGGAATATAAAGAAGTCACTCACTCACTCACTCTACTTGTAGTAAACAGAAACCAGAGGGATATCGACGTCATTATCCTCATCGTCCTCGCATGCCACCACGACATCCAAGTGGCGGCGTTTTGGGGGCAGCTCCAGCTTGGCGACTTCCCTCGCCAAATCCACAATCTTCTTGTCCATCCGTTCCTTGTGCCTAGGGAACATGCTGTTATAGAGCAAGCAGCTCCCGCAAGAGATGCTGTACGCATTCAAGTACTTGTCTTTTAGCCATCTGATGAGCTCCTTCAGTGTGGGGTTGTTCTTTATTTCCCACCGGTCCCAAACGGTCCAGCTCATATCCAAGTGCTTGATCACCTTGGGTGGGACTGGTTCGGCCATGGAGAAGAGGGGCAGCGCCAGGTTGGCAAATGTGTTGCGGTAGTCCTCAACCTTGTGTCCCCCTGCTAGAACCTTGTACAGTTCCAGGCAAACCAAGCCGGTCGCCATTGCTGTGGAGGTTGCAATTGCAGGAATGATCCTTCCTGCTATGAACTTGGCCTTCAGTTTGTCCACTTCAGGTATGCTGTAGTTTCTAGCCCTCATGTTGGCAAGCCCGGCTATGAGGTCCATGTGGAAGTTCGTGTCATCATCCTGCTTGAAACAAAATAAAAATACATAGATCGGTAAAAATATGCTCCACAATTAACATTATGACTTTATTTCATTAATAAAAACCGAGACCTTCTCGAACTGAATAGGTTTCATCTTGAAGTTTGGAGGTAGATTTTTACGGCACTGCTCCAGCTTTGTTATGAGTTCATGGATAACTGCAATGTCATCTATGGAAGCAGCAGAAAGACTGGTGGCTTTCTCATCTGTCTCAATCTTCACGCCTTTCTTGGGTTGAAACTCTGGGACAACAACACTATCGACAGCTTCGGCCAGTTTCTTTGGTTGAGTGGCCCAGTCAGGAATAGGGATTCCAAATGTCTCGGCCCGCAATATGGCTGCAGCCATCGTAAAATGGAGATGACTCTGATCTTTCGAAGAGAACTTAAGGGGTTGAGGGAAACGCTTAGGTGCCGACCAGAAAGGTGCTCCAGTACTCGTTGCTGCATCCTCGGGAAAAGTGAAAATCAATTGTTTGACCCGGTTTGCAAAATAATCTTCAAACCTTGAAAAGAGAAGGGAAACCATGTTAAGAAACTGCATAAAGTGATCTTTTCGTTGCCTTACACGTAAATAAAGTTACTCCCCCCCCCCCAAAATCCAAAAGTAAATTTCACACTTTTTTTGGGCATCCCAAGATGGACTCTTTTGGTTTTGAGGAAAGAATTGTGTGTATCATATTACTCCATATTTATCTCCTCTGCATAAATCTCAGCCACACAAATTCACTACCTTAAACTCCATGCAAAAAACAAACGCTAAGTGCAATTTGGGACTGAGGAAGTAAGACATGATTAATCTTTTTTTTTCAGAATCAGCATATATTTAGATTTTTGTCTATATAATATAAAGGAATAGTTTAAATTGACTTTGAACAAACACTTTTTTTCTCCAACCAATCTTGTCATTATTTGCTTTCCCAGCTATTCTTAGGGTTCCAAACAGACTCTTAGTAGGGAATGAAAAAAAAAGTACCAGATTACTTTATAAAGATGCTAAGAAAAAAGGGCAAAGTGTTAGTTGGCCTACCTGTGGCGTGCCCATGCAATGCAAGCTTCAAAGGTTTCACATCTTTCCTTGTCTAGGCACTCAAGAACACGTTCCAAGTTATCTCTAGCTTGTGCATCACCAGATTTGCTCTGTGCAGACGTGTACTCGCTTGGATTACTGAGATAAGCATTTGCTTCAGCCGGTGTCTTCTCAAGCAAGCCCTCAAACTCTGAACGAGCCCAAGTCAAGCAGTGGTCAATGTTGTGTGGGAAAGAGTGTACAGTGCACATTGGTGCTTGTTTCTCTGGAGGATCGCGTGATGCACCATAGTTTTCTGTCAGGTGTGGTATGACCATCTGGGTATTGCATTTGGCACCAAGTGTTCCTGACTCGAGAAGTGGCTTCTGGAAATACAAGCATCTCTGATCAACATAAAGCCTTGCATTAACG